ATCACCATTGATCCAGCAGAGGTGACAACTAGCCGCATTAAAATCACCTGGGCAGCACCTGCCACGGGTGGTACAGAGACCTACCGAGTCAGCATCTCACCTGCCCATGGCAGCGACACACCTGCAAGTGTTCCTAGCAGCACACTGACGCACACCTTCAACGGTCTGACAGCAGGAACTGAGTATACCATCAGTGTTGTAGCTGTCAGTAGTGGTGGGGACAGTGTGGAAAGGACTAAAGTCCAGTGGACAAGTAAGAACCTAATACATTGTAGTATCCAGAAAGTTTGATAGCTTGCTGGCCCTTACATGTACCATAGGACAGGAGTAATGTGAGCTTACCTGTTTGTCAATTATGTTTGCAGAAATTGGACTTGATTTTCATGTAGAATTCTGATCTTTCTGAACTTAGAATTGTACAACTCTGGTTTGTAGATGTGTGTGTGATGCATGCACATACAGTATTATCTAGTAGGTGAAAAAATTCTTCTGATATCAAGTTTTGTAGAAAAGAAAATTAGAATTATGCAGCTGATCCTCTGCCAATTCCTTCAGCTCCAGCCCAGCCTGGTGATATCACCATAGGTGCAGTGACAGTAAGCAGTATCCCAATCACCTGGGCAGCACCTGCCACAGGTGGTACAGAGACATACCGAGTCAGCATCTCACCTGCCCATGGCAGCGACACACCTGCAAGTGTTCCTAGCAGCACACTGACGCACACCTTCAACGGTCTGACAGCAGGAACTGAGTATACCATCAGTGTTGTAGCTGTCAGTAGTGGTGGGAACAGTGTGGAAAGGACTAAAGTCCAGTGGACAAGTAAGTACCTACATGTAATAGTATCCAGTCAGACCGTTTGACTCGAAAAGTATAGTCAGGTAGTGCGATCAATGTTGAATAGATGTGAACAGAATAAGATAAAATATAATGACCTAACTGCATGATGACCTGTTTTCATGAGTTGAATAAAACAGGAGTTTTCCTTGTTTGCTGTCCAGCTACTGGCACACCTGGAACAGTTAACGCACCTGAAGTGACAGTTAACAGCATTAAGATCACCTGGACAGCACCTACAAGTGGTGCTGTAGACACCTACACTGTCAGCATCTCACCTGCCCATGGCAGCGACACACCTGCAACTATTCCTAGCGACACTCTGGAACACACCTTCAACGGTCTGACAGCAGGAACTGAGTACACCATCAGTGTTGTAGCTGTCAGTAGTGGTGGGGACAGTGCAGCAAGTACTAAAGTCCAGTGGACAAGTAAGGATATTACCCAGAATGTTTCACACTTATTGACAGTGTCACTACCCACTTTATGACATGAGAGTGGATTTACAATGGTCATGTATTATATACCATACAACATGTCAAAGCGTTATCCATATTGCCAATGTTTTGGGTAAAGGGTAGGTTTGTCAACCAAAAATTTGAGACTTGTGTGAAGGATTTTTCAACTTAGCTGCAGTGAACATTTCCAGTGAGCCAAACTTATTTTCTAGTCAATGATTTTGAAGGAAGATAAATGATGTAGAAGTAATAATTGTAACACAAGGGGTAACTGATAATGATCATCAAATGTTTCTTAGAGATCAAGTATCAGATTAAAACTTTTTCAGGTGAGTGAGCTGTGAAGAGAGCTGGGTTTATTTGCAGATACATGTACTATGGCATGTCCCTCAAATGACACTGGGTCTGTTAGTCATTTGTAGTGAAATACCACTTACTCACTCACTCACTATCCTGGTTTAGATTTCACTGCTGCCGGTTTCCCTGTCCCAGGGGTGGGCAGCAGTCGGCTGTTCTGGACACCTCGCCTCCAGCTGGCTCTGTCCTGTGGGTCTGTGCTGGACAGACCACACTCCTTTATATCCTTCCGAATGCACTCTAACCAAGTTTTTCTCGGCCTGCCACGGCCTCTGTTGCCTGGCAACTGCAAGTCCGCGATGGTATTGATGCAGCCACATGCTCTTTTAACGTGCCACATGCTCTATTAACCACTTAGCTAATACTATTCACATACTTATCTTCACACATGTGCATGTACCATTACCATTTAAAAACCATTTGCCCCTAGGTTTTTTTTCTTCAAAATCAGTTTAAGATAGCCATTGTAAGCCACATCTGGTTGGACCAATACATTGTCAATAATGGCTTTGTATTAAATGTCAGCATATTCATGAGTGCTGTTATGTTGGGTTGTAGCAAACATGTTTCAATCTAATGCTGATCCTCTGTGGCCAATTCCTCCAGCTCCAGCCCAGCCTGGTGAGATCACCATTGATCCAGCAGAGGTGACAACTAGCCGCATTAAAATCACCTGGGCAGCACCTGCCACGGGTGGTACAGAGACCTACCGAGTCAGCATCTCACCTGCCCATGGCAGCGACACACCTGCAAGTGTTCCTAGCAGCACACTGACGCACACCTTCAACGGTCTGACAGCAGGAACTGAGTATACCATCAGTGTTGTAGCTGTCAGTAGTGGTGGGGACAGCGCACCAAGTACTAAAGTCCAGTGGACAAGTAAGAACCTAATAGTATCCAGAAAGTTTGATAGCTTGCTGGCCTATATAATATACATGTATGTACCATATAGCACCAACTGTCACAGAAATGTTGGTTTTGGTTCATGAGTAATGTGAACTACAATAACTTCAAGTTGTCAATTATGTTTACAGAAACTTTGATTCCATTTACATACAGAATTTCTGAATGTAAGTTTACAACTCTGATCTGTAAATGTGTGTGTGATGCATCCAAATATTAGTCCACTGTGACACCAATTTAATTTGTTGCTTCTCTGATTCGCCTTTTCATTTTTGTCTGATTTCCAAAATAAAAATTTCTGGTTCTGAATCAACTCAAAAATGCTCAAATTTTGCCCCCAACAGTTGAGGAATGTCCTTTTTTCCCCTAGATGTTACAGGTTTTCCATCTGTCAATGCAGTGGTTTGATTAAAAGTTTAAAATTCATTGTTTAAATTTTAACCCAGCCTTTTGTGTTGACTTCATGGCTCCTATCAAAGCACTAAGGTAAGTCTTGGGGCTATAATAGGATGGCTAGACCTGTTTTTATTAAATTTATTCTTTTTCGCCCTCAGCTGTCACTTCATATTTTTTTCTGAAAAATCCGAGAACCAACAAATTAAATTGGTGTGGCCTTATTTAGAAGTTGAAATAAATCTTCTGATATTAAGTTTAAAAATTAGAATTATGCAGCTGATCCTCTGCCAATTCCTTCAGCTCCAGCCCAGCCTGGTGATATCACCATAGGTGCAGTGACAGTAAGCAGTATCCCAATCACCTGGGCAGCACCTGCCACAGGTGGTACAGAGACATACCGAGTCAGCATCTCACCTGCCCATGGCAGCGACACACCTGCAAGTGTTCCTAGCAGCACACTGACGCACACCTTCAACGGTCTGACAGCAGGAACTGAGTATACCATCAGTGTTGTAGCTGTCAGTAGTGGTGGGGACAGCACAGCAAGTACTAAAGTCCAGTGGACAAGTAAGTTTCCGGAATGTTTGACTAAAAAAGTATAGTCCGGTAATTCTGTGTTGAATAGCTGTTAACAGAATATGATGAAGTAGTCCAAGAATGATTTATCTGCAAGATGACCTCGGAGCACCCTTATTGTGGTATAGTTTATAATATACGTTATAAGACTTTTGTATGTTGGATAAAGCCTGAGGAGTTTTCCTTGTTACCTGTCCAGCTACTGGCACACCTGGAACAGTTAACGCACCTGAAGTGACAGTTAACAGCATTAAGATCACCTGGACAGCACCTACAAGTGGTGCTGTAGACACCTACACTGTCAGCATCTCACCTGCCCATGGCAGCGACACACCTGCAACTATTCCTAGCGACACTCTGGAACACACCTTCAACGGTCTGACAGCAGGAACTGAGTACACCATCAGTGTTGTAGCTGTCAGTAGTGGTGGGGACAGTGCAGCAAGTACTAAAGTCCAGTGGACAAGTAAGTAGTACTTATCAGAATGTTTCACAGTGTCACTACCCACTTCATGACATGAGAGTGGATTTATTTTGAATTATTTCTGTCCATGGTGGTAAGCACATGAGAGATACATGTAAAATGTTCTGTATGCTGAAACCAGAGAGAAAATAACAGCCTTATTTATAGGGCATCTGTCCAATAGTTCTTGGATAGCACAATGCCATTGTTATTCATTGAGTTATTCTAGATCTTGCCATCCAAGGGCTTATGTTGAAATAAATATCTTTGCAATTTAGTGATATAGGAAAAATGTATTGTACATGTATGTATGTGTGTGTGTGTGTGGGGGGGGAGTTGAGAATTTGCTTAATTGCAGTGCATACACACCTTAAATTTGAGGTTATTTGACCCCCCAAAAAGTTGATAGTAACTAAAGGAAAACAAACAATATCATACAATGTACATACTGTTGTGACATATACTAGATAAGTTATAGTGATTATCAAATTTTTCTTAGCGATTAAGTATGAAGATAAGATTTCTTGCGGTTAGTGAATAGTTGGGAGTAGGTGGTTTCATATAGCTTGGTTAATTTGCAGATACATGTACATGTGACATGTCCCTCCAACTACACTTTGTTATTTATTTGCAGTGAAAGTTAGCTATTCACATACATGTACGTGTACAATGTACCGTCCTCATTTAAAAACCATCGGCCCCTACATTAAAAGAATCAGTTTAAAATGGTTACTGTAAGCCACATCTGTTTGGACTAATACACTCACTGTCACGATGGCAAATTGTATTATTGAGCATGTTCATGTGCTGCTAATAATAAGTTGTGTCATTATTAATAGCAATCATTCAATCTAATGCTGATCCTCTGTGGCCAATTCCTCCAGCTCCAGCCCAGCCTGGTGAGATCACCATTGATCCAGCAGAGGTGACAACTAGCCGCATTAAAATCACCTGGGCAGCACCTGCCACGGGTGGTACAGAGACCTACCGAGTCAGCATCTCACCTGCCCATGGCAGCGACACACCTGCAAGTGTTCCTAGCAGCACACTGACGCACACCTTCAACGGTCTGACAGCAGGAACTGAGTATACCATCAGTGTTGTAGCTGTCAGTAGTGGTGGGGACAGCGCACCAAGTACTAAAGTCCAGTGGACAAGTAAGAACCTAATAGTATCCAGAAAGTTTGATAGCTTGCTGGCCTATATAATATACATGTATGTACCATATAGCACCAACTGTCACAGAAATGTTGGTTTTGGTTCATG